ATTAGATGAATTGGTTTAAAAAATAAGATCATTTTTTTTTTTGAAAATCAGCATAATCTAAAACTGGTGAACACATAATACATTTTACTTAGTGTTTAAAAGATTTGACATTTTTCATTTCAAACAAAATTAGTATTTTTTCTACAAAGTTGGTTTAATGTTTGCGCAATTTTATCAAACTTGGGTATAAACTCTTATAGTAATTCGTAAATACCACAAACCTTCATTTGCATTTGGCGTACAAAGATAATCTTCTCAATAAAATTCCTTCGCTAGACACAGAATGCGTTTTTAAGAAATATAGGTTTTCAAAAACATCCTGTAAGTTTATACTGTAATGGTCCAACTGTCTACTGAAAACAATGGCATCATGGAGATAAAATAAGCATTTTTCGTTATTAAATCCTAACATTGGCAAATTTGTCAATCGTGAGAATGAACATCGACTTGTTTTTAATTCCATTGACATTTTGGTCATTTGGTCTGACACTAATTTCAACAAAGTTGGTCTAGTGTTTGCGCAATTTTACCAAACTTGGGTAAACTTTTTACAGTTATTCGTGAATGCCACGAACCTTTATCTTCATTTTGCGGACAAGGATAATCTTCTCAATATAAATTCCTTCGCTAGATATGAAACGTGTTTTTTTAAGAAATGTAGGTACATTTTGAAGGATTTAATGTTTAATTTACTGATAGAGCTCTTTCAAAAACATTCTGTAAGTTTTTATTATGATGATCCAACTGTCTACCGAAAACAATGACGTCATGGAGATAAATTAAGCATTTTTCATTATTCAATCCTGATATTGCCAAATTCAATATTCGTCAAAATGAACTTCGACTTCGTATATTCTGACGAATAGTGAAATTGGCAATGTCAATTTTGATCTAACCCTAACTTCAAAGATAAAATATTTTCTCGAAATCAAAATATGCTCCAAATCTATTTAAGAAGTCTCTACCTAGAATTCAGTTTAACAAAAGTGGTAACGAATTAAAAACAAAGAACTTGTGATTAATAACATATCCATTAATAATTATTGGAATATAAAAATATCCAACTACTATGGAATGGAACGATTATTTCGATAGCATATTTATAAGTTACGGCAGATAAGGAGGCACTCGTATTGACTAAGAAAGAATAAGTTTTATTATATGAAGAAATTAATAAATTAATAAAACAAGTGTTATTACTACTAGCCTTAATTGAATAATTTGGTTTGTTGCCAATGATGTTTAAAATATCATTGGCGTCCTCAATGTCCTTGGCCACGTGAGTTCGACTAGCTCCATGAACTCGATTGCTACGACTCGCTGTGAAAACATTTTGAAAATTGAAACATTTTGAAGATATTGACATTTGACACCTGAGAATAATCTCGCTCAGTTCTATATTTTAATTTTTCAATAATAATTTCAGTATTTAAGACCGAAATAGGCGAGTTGATATTCTTATTACGGGTCTGGTCTTCTTACCACCTCTGACTTCAGTCCCAACATTGGTATCGCCGACTGCTGTTCTGCTGCCTTATTGGCAACCGCCGTGTAACTAACTGCAGAGATTTCCTCCGCCGACTTCACTGTCAACTCGGGGCAGACGGCGCGGTACGAATGGGTGTGGGCTGCGTCGATCGCTCCACCGCCAGCGGTGCCAGTGAAAAGCCTGTGCCTGTCGTCAACATTATCGATTTTCTTCGATATTATGCTCTATATTTGTTTCCATTTTTACGAGTATATATTGATATCTCTAATAAACTTCATTTTTTATTAGCTTTACTTAGTTTAATATTTTCCTGTGCTAACACAGTAACAGTAGATTTAATTTCGTTTAAAATTTTGGTCTCAAAACTATTAATCATTTCTACAATCACACTATTTACTTTATCTATTATATCTGCAAACTTGATCATCCTCTCAAATGTCAAATACCCCTTTTTGTCTAGGGCAGTGCTTTCCTCGAAGGATAAGTTGGATCAAACTTTGCCCATCAGGTATACATCAGAGCCACGAATTGAAGTATCATCGGTTACTCGTATGCGCGGAGTTAAATTGGAACAAGAAATGTACATAAAATTGCGCTTCAATTGCTGTTGCCTCTCCTTAAACATAGTAGAAGTAATATTTACGCATTTATATTTTTTTTTTTTGAGAAGTCTCAATTCATCTGCTGTTATTTATTTTACAGCACCATTTATATCTGAGTTTATATAATTCTTCTATTTTTTGTGTTTTCTGGATTTTTTTTTATTTTTGTTATTTATATATTTTTAAGTATTTTACATTTTATTATTTACAGTATTCCACTTATGTGTCCTTATAAATCCAAGTTACCAGCTATTTAACAATTTATCAATATGTCTATATTCTTTCTCTTGTTACATTTATTAGCATGTTATTAGCCAGTGATGTAATATAACATTCGGTGTTAACTTTGCCATACATTAGTAATTATCTATGCTGTTTTTGTTATTATTGTAACTGTGCTATTAGCTGGTAGAACAATATATCATTTTATATTAACTTAGCTAGCTTAACTCATAATTACATATGTTATTTGTTTTGTTACAATATAAATATGATACTAGCTACTTTTATAATAGATAAATACATACAAGCATGCTTAGTTATTAACGTGACGTTCTTACATATTTATTATCATATATCATACTCACCACTTAATTCATTTTTTTAAATCTTTTAATTATACACTTTGTAACCATTTTCTTGAAAAATTAAAATATAAAACTGAGCGAGATTATTCATCTTTCAGGAATGGCGTAACAGCGAGCAACTTGATAAAATTTGTGTTTGAGAGGCATGGTCTTTGAATGTAGAATTTAGTGAATGGGTTTGGTTTCGTCGCTCAACAAGATCAAATCAGGCTCAGCAGTAATAGTAAGTTCAGTATCCAATATCAAAACATCAAAGGACTAAGAATGAAGACCACTGAATTCTAATAGTTTCTGGAATCATCTGAAACTGACTTATTTGCGGTAACTCAAACTGGCCTCAATGAAGCCATACATATCACGGTATTTTTGCTCCTCGGATACCATGTATTAAGATGCGATCGGACAGACGGTCGCAAGCAGGGAGGTGTGTGTCTAGTGGCCACACCGCGCTTTGAGTTACGAAAAATGTCGTTGCTGGATAACGTAAACATAGACGTTCATAAATTTGAATTAATAAGTGCTACTGTGCATGTACAGAACCGATTTTTATTTACATATTGTATACTATACATTCCACCTCGAACTGAAGTAATTTTATATATATCTACTTATGTTTAATATCTTAGAGAAATTATGTATTAGGTTTAAAGGTAATATCTTATTATTTGGAGATTTTAATTTATATTCTTATAATAGTAGTAGTATAATATATAAAATTACGACACATCGTCAGCTATAGCCTCAAAACCTGAAATCAAGACTGTACAACTAGTGCGTGTTGCATGAAATGAGGATATCCGGAGTAGAACCAGAGTGACCGACATAGCCCGACGGATTAGTAAGCTGAAGTGGCAATGGGCCGGCCATATAGCTCGATGAACTGATAACCAATGGGGAAAAAAGGTTCCCGAGTGGCAGGCTCGTACCGGTAGGAGTGACGATCTGGTAAGATATGCAGGAAGTCGATAGATGCAGGTGGCTCAGGACCGTGCTTTGTGGCATTCCTTAGGGGAGGCCTATGTTCAGCAGTGGACTTGTGAAGGGCTGTAATGATGATGATGAACTAATCATAATTTCTTGTAAGTTAACGTGTCTATAAACAAGTTATTTTCAACAAAAAAATAATGTTCTAAAAAGACTATCTATGCACACAAGGAACGAATCGCGCTCTTACTCTTTCGCTTTCGTTCGCTCGTTTATTCGTTCATGTACAGCCACCCCAAACTCGAGTTGACAAATCCAACTCGAGTTAACTCGAGTTGACCCATCGTTACCCTATATACATATATATATTATTGTAGTCTTTCTCTAGTATATATTCCGTAGACAGAGAAACCTATAGACTAATAATTAGCGTGGCCTCGATTGAGAAAGAACGATAACGTAGTTTTAGGTTATACAATAATCTTTATGACTTTTAAACATATTTAGATAAAAATTTTAATTGTTCTAAGAACTGAACTGAACAAGATTCACCAATATAAACACAATCACCAATACAATCACAAACCTAAGCTCACAAAACTCTCACTTAAACCAACTTGTAAACTCCTTAGATCGCTACGAACTATCAAAGTTGTTTAGCAAAAAAACCGGCACGGAGAAAGGGACAAACAATCACACTGCTCTGTCTCATTTCCATGCAAGACGTTTGTATAAATCTGTCTTTTTCGTGTGAGAATGCGAACGAGTAGGAGTTTTTGGCCGTAGACGGACTGTCGCTCCTCTTTTGCCGCTTGAATAATGGTTTGAAGTGGATTTTAATTCGTAAAATTGATGTGATTTTGTTAATTAAGTGTCTGCGCGTGTGAACTATTAGAGAAAACGACGATATAAGTGCTTTGATGTTGATATAAACCTCAAGTTAATTTGATCGCTCGAGTGCCTTATGAACTTGAGTAGCTGTCGTCATCAACTGTCCGCTGGATTGAACTGTCGTCGAAATCTCCCAAAAACTTCGCAATATGACCCATCAGCATATTATAAAGAAAAAATATATAAAATGAAGATTCTGAAAGAAATGATCAGAAGGGCTAGAACCCAGAGCCGTAAAAACCAGTTACATAAATAAAAAAATAAACTTTTGATGGTAGTCTTTGACTTAACCGTTATTATTTTGCTTATTTTGTCGTTTTGCGTGTGTAACTGTGTAATTTAAAAAGGAAGAGGAAAATAATTTACAAAATACCTATATACTGGGAATATTCAAACTTTGTTAGGTGTCGATAAATTAGGTATACTGACACCATAAAAATTATACAGCAGAAAAAATTAAAATTTAATTAAAGGACAAAGTTGTGTTTTCCACTACTGCCTATCAAAATGAATAATGACGATTATTATGAAATAACAACACAATTGGACGCTAGAGAAATATTACGATACTTAAACAATTTAGGTATACAAAATATAAGTGGTGAAGTTTTAAAATATTTTATAACAGGTAAGTATCATAATTTTGTTTATTTATTAGATATAACAACAGCCTTCATTCAGTGAAAAAAAAAATCTTATGTAATATGTTTTACATAGGGCCAATGATAGTCATCCACTTTCCACAATGTAGCACAAATCAAAAGTATGAAAAGTTGAAAAGAAAAAAATAACATGACCTTTGATCAAAAACAATGCTTAATTTAAAAATTTTGTCATGGCTGACCTAGGAAATTATGCTTCAATGGGATAATATTAACATATATAAGCACACACATACACATATACATATAACCATATTATAATTAAACACTTATACATATAGGCAAGTATGTACATATACTTGCCTATAAGTACATTACATTTAGGTAAATATACATACATACAATATACTCATGTACACACTCACATACATACACTATATTAAATTCTTTTTGTGTCAATTAGCGAATTGAAGACATATAACTTGAGATGATGACAGATTTATAAAACTACAGAGGCTACCAACATAAACAATAAGGGTTAATTGTCTACTCCTGTCAAATCCTGTACTACCTTTCGCTTAAATAAATTTTTTGAACGGATAAATGGGTCAATATGAGAAAATTTACTATTAAAAATTCTTACCATTCTGGTGAGGACACAATTCTTGCCATAATTAGTATGATGTAAGGGAACGCCGAATAAAGGTGTATGTCTAGTCCACGTTGGGGCACTTTAAAGGATATTTGTGAAAGCAGAGCAGGGCAATCAAGTTGAGCACATAAAATATCGAACAAAAAACCCATGTCTAAGATCTCACAGCATTTCGCTAATGTGAGAGGATTAAATTTACAATTATCACTGTAAGACATAAATGTGTGTGCAGTGCCATCGCACCTGAAATTTAGAGATTTTAAAAGCATTTTTCATGGTTTTTAATTGCAGATCTTAAGAAACTTATTAAGTATGACTTGCAGCATAAAAAAGAAAATTTGAACCCAAAGAAAACATATGAATTAGGACCTGAAAGATTACACAGTGCTAGCACCTTTTCATCTAGAACAAGATCAAGGGGGGCTTACAGTGAAATTTGCTGTAAAGAATATCCGAAAACAAAAGCAATGTTAAATTTTCGTAATGCTTGTTCTTCAGCGCCTACTATTGCAATTCCAAAAATTGAAGTTGAAGTACCAAAGAGAGCATCTTCTTGTGTAAGAATTGAAAATAAACCTGCAAGAATGTCTAAAGAACCAAGAGCAACATCATCCCTTAATAATAATTGTAAGTTTTTAATTTATTTAATTTTTTCTAATTTGAAGTCTCTTTATTTAGTATTTAAATATTGCTATTGTGGTAAATTTTTCAACTTATAATGATTTACATTAATAAAGTACTGTTATTATTATTTTTTTCAGTAATCAAGGTTCCAAAGCAGCCTTTAAAAAGAAAAACTGACCCTGTCTCTTTATATCACTATTATACATCTTTGTGGGCAAAATATAAACCAAATGTACCTGGTGAAAACAACTGGTCAGAACTTAGATGGAGCATAAGACAAAAAATGGCTGGTAGTTTTCCATGTCCATCTAGTAGGGTAAGTTTTGAATATTTATGTTTTGTATAATGAGCAGTTTAACTTAAAAATGTTAAACCATCACTCTCTTAGCTATTTCTGGAGGTGTGAGATAAAATGCAGAAAAGTGACTAAAATTAGACTACATGTAATTATGATTTTGTTTACAGAACATAGTCAAGACTAATGGTGGTTAATATAGCGCATAGTGCCATATTATACCGCGTTATCTCTTCATAACGCATAGCGCATGCTATTTAAGTAGTCGTCATGTCGCTATGATGCTTTGGAGCTATTCATATCAAGCGGCAATTAGTTCTAGCAGCAGCGCTGTTGAAAGTAGACGTGTGACGCAAATTTAATCTAGCAGCACGGTATTCATCTCGCACGGACTATTTTAGTGTTAGACATTATTTAGTTAGTGTATACTGTATATTTATAAGTGATCGAAGGACACAGTTGTTTGCTACAAAAGAGCCCTTACTAATGTATTTAAATGTAAATAAAATATAGATACAAAAGTGTAGATAATAGTGTTTGTAAATAGTTGATAATTGTTTTTGTATATACAATCAATAAACTTTTAAATACACCTTTGATTTATAATTTATATTAAGGTTAAAATAATATTTACATCAATTATAATAAAAAATGATTAATTTTATTTTGTTTTAAAAAGTACAGTCCTTAAAAATATTTTTAGGATTATAAAAAGTCGTAAGCCTGAAAAGTATGAAAGAGCATTCTTTAATTTTTCTTTACCACTTTATTTTATTTTAATCTAAAATGCGACTTATTACGAAACAATGTTCTTATATAGCACGCGGTCTATCCAATGAACGACATGTAATGTAGTGTGCTCCGAGATGTAGCGTGCTGCTAAATTTAACGCGCTTGCCGGCCTCCTACACTCTTTTTTATATAAATAGCGCGCTATAACATAGCGTATTTAATAGCGCGCTACAAATTTCTAATTTATAGTCTGTAGCGTGCTATTGATTTATAGTCGTTTTGAACAACTTTAGTCAAGACTACTGCTTCTTGTCAAATTGCCAACCATATCCACACTATAACATCTACATTATGTAACGTAATTAATGCACAACCTCAAACATCATGTGGTGTTTGAAACCACATGCACATATATATTATATAAGGGAAGCTTATGTTAAGAAGTGTAGTTTTCGATAAGATATACTGCGTGAAGCGATAAATTAATTTTGTTTAATATAAGTAGTTCTTGTATACATATTCTATGTAAACTAGTTGATTATTAGACAATGCTTAAAGGCTTTAAATCTTTCCTTTGTTAACCTAAGGTGTTACAACACAGCTTACGGCCCCATGACTCTGTGTTTGGCGAGTTATAGCACCGAAAGTGGCTGGTTTTGTCCTTGTTCAATTTAATTACGCAAACTCCATGATACAGGAGAAAATTCTAGTGTAGGGGTAATTTTTTTATTCAAAAACTATGCACAAGCTGAGCGAGCAACGCAAGTGTGCTGTGGTAGCAGTTGATGAAGTGCCTGAAGAAGAATTTTTAGGCATCTCCTAGTGTCCTATCCTTAGGAGTTTCATTTTTGAAGTAAAACTGATCGCTAATTTTTAATATGGAATTTTCAAAAATGCAAACACACCATAAGTTTCATGATTCCATCGATCGATCTCCCCCAACCTCTTTCTATGCACCACAGGATACTCAAGCAACCCCTTCTTACCTTCACCATTTCTGACTGCAGTAGCTGCATACCATCAGGTGTAGCTGCAAGTTTGTTAGTCACTTCAGATTTATATATTAAAAAAAAAACAATTTATTATAATTCATAGGAGCTCCTCTCCACTCAATGATTACATATGGGTAAAAGTTAATGTTGTTTTAAATTTATTCTTTCTTTTACAGGCTGTCACCATAACAAATAAAGAAGAAATGAAGAGTAAGAAATTATAACATTTGGCCAATTGTGGATTATTGAATTAAATACAATATAATTTACTGTAATAATATTGTAATTTTATGGTGTTTCTATATAATGTTAAGCAAAGCAAGTTAAATGAGATGATAGAGGTTTGCAGTTGTGCATGCTTCATGGAAAACTACTGAATAGATTTAAATTAGGTTTTTTGTTTTATTTCTTAGCGACTTAGCCCTTATCTAAAAAAAATATACTGAGATATCTTCATTTAATTTAAAGTTCTTAAAGTTTTAAGAATGTGGATCAGCCACGGGTATCAGCTAGTTATTATATAATAATAAAGTTGAAATATGTATACCTACCTATCCATCAGTGGCGGATTTACCAGCAGGCTGAGTAGGCTGGAGCTTAGGGCAGCAAATTTGAGGCAAATTTTATTTATTTAACAATTTATGTACACACGAAGTAATGTTACAATAAAAAATAAAAAGATATTTTGTACAAAGGCACTGCATATTTCATATTGAAACTTCTTCCAGCAGGCCTGATACTGGACAAATTCTATGAGAAGCAGATTTAGTGTGCACTCTCGTAATAAATTTTATAATATTAATATACTTAATATAAAATAAAGATAATAAAAACATACATACAGACATGCATATACCTAAATACTATACTATATATAGATATAAAATAAAATGCATGTAGATACACACACACATTAGATCATTGGAGACAAAGAAAGATAGTGCTCTTTAGCTCACCTTTTAACCTTTTGAGCGCCATAGTCGCCTATACTTGACAAGCACCTGCGAGCTCTGAGCGTCAACGACGTCTATAGTTGGCAAAAAACCCGACCCACAAAAATATGAAATATAGATATTGGGAAGTAATTACTGGTTTTTTTCTACACTCCTCAAAGAAGAATAACCTAGCAACATGTGAGTAAAAAAACATGTCTCCTAGAGCCACGAGTACTAAGAAACACTGAATTAAAAAAAATGGATTTTTATCTAAGCAAATACCTACTATGTCCAGCACGCCAAAGTCGTCTATATGTTTGACCGCTAGTCAGTGACATAAACAGTTTCAAAAAGACAAGTAATAATACTACCTTATCACTGTAAGTCAATCACCATATCACTAGGTAAAGAGTCGCGAAATGCGAGAACATTATTTAGAATTGCCATCCAATATGTTTAAAAATCATCGCAGCCTCGGTTTAGACACCGAGTGCAACGAGCGAGTGTTAGTTTGTTTAGGACTTGAAGAAGAGCCCACAAAGCCCGTATTTAGAAACGTAACTGTCTTAAGTTTATGACCAACGTTATGATAAATAAGATGTTACAAAAGATAAATAAGTCTTAGTGCGCTCGGTATGGCAAACCATTAATTTTATACACAATAGAATACGCTGTAATTGGTTAATGTTACGATGCGACTTCACTTGACTTGCAGATAAAAAATGTCAAATGATCAAAACAAAGGTTTTCATTAAAATCTCTCTTCGAAATATATGATAATAATCTATGCATAGTGATTTACAATTTCTTTTCCCGTGTTCACGACGATATCTTTTGAAGTTCTATAGATTTCTGATTACGGCTTTCTGATTCATCGGCACTGTAATAATTGAAAGGATTTTGAAAGTTATGTCTAATTTTTCTTTTGTTAATCGTTCTTTCTAGGTTTATTCTCTCAAGGATGTAATTATCATATTATTCTTCGTTACTGTAATCAATCGCAAGTTTTGAAACAAAATAAAATAAATAACAATTGGAATCACTGAATGCATATGTGGGCTATGAGTAAGCTTTTCATTCCATCGAAATTTGGGAGGTGCTACAGTCACTTTAGCGGTGCAAAGTTGACTGTTAATATATCAAAGTACTTAGGTTGGGTGATTAGACTTTAGTATGGTAAAATGTTTTCAAGCTATAGCACTGGGAAGGATACTGTATTAATAGCATAGGCGAGTACATAACACATCTTCGATTTGACGACGATATGGTCCTTATGGCAGAGTCCCTGAAAAACCTAATTACTATGCTCAATGACCACAATTGTAATATAATTTAAACAGTGGTATAGCCACGTGGCAGCTTTTGCTGTTGTACGTATGGGCTGGCTCAAGCCAGTTTAGTACCACGACCTCACAGAATAATAGCGTCAAATAGAAGTTATGCTTCTGCGTTTCGTCTGGTGAGTGTGTCCAAATGGTTGCAGATTCCTGCTGTAGCAAGCAGATACCATCCACAGAGATCGTGATCCTTGGCCATTTTAACGCCAATCACTCCAAATGGCTCGGTTCACGTTTAACCGATCATGCGTAGAGATCTGTTCATGACTGCTTTGGTATATGATCTGACACAACTGGTTCCTTCGCCTACACGGGTTCCAGATGTGGAGGATCATGCATCTTTCCTGTTGGATCTTTTGCTGACCTCTCATCCGGACGGATATCAAGTTTCTGTTGACGCCCCTCTTGGCTCCTCGGACCATTGTCTGATTCGGAGTGTGGCGCCACTCACGCTCACTTCACATTTGCGTTCTCACTGTTGTAATGCGTTAGGCATAGATTTATTGAAAAATATTCAAAATTAAACGCAAACATTTTTTTAAATTATTGATATTTGAATAAAACAAAAGGTAAGAAACATAAAACTATCTTCAGCTACATAAATAAAAGAAAATTTCATCAAATCAACTTCGCATAATAAATCTAATATCTCAACTCTGGCGCATCCTTAGCGCGTCGTCGATTATCAGTTCATTGGGCGCCGTGGTCAAGGATAGACGACACCCTGATGACGTCATAAACGAATAGCGGAAAAAGTAGTGTAGTGTAACATGAACGATTCCTCAGAACTCAATCGCATTTTGGAAAGCGTCGATGATGATGATTTTTTTTATTTTAATAATATAAAATTACAAATAATAAATGTTTATTTTTTTCTTAAGGTATGAGGAGCAATTTTACATTTTGTGTTGTGCGATTTTCTTTCTCAGTATAGGGTATTGACAGAAACCTCTATTATATTTGCTGGTGACATTTCCATTATTATTCCGCATACAAAAGATCAGAATTTAAATAATAAATCGAATTAAGTATTGAACCAGGTTACAAAATGGCTGACACGTCACAAGCTAGAGATTAATTTTAATAAAACCAAAATTATGCAATTCCCACCAGTTCAAAAATCACCACTATATATCGCTTTTACTTACAATAATATACCCATATATATGGAAATCGACTACCATATAAATTGGAAAGCCCATATAAATAAAGTAAAAAATAGGCAAAATTCACTTACGGATTACGAGAAATAAAGAAAACCACAGATGTCCCCAGCGCTCTGTAAGCATATTACGCAATTACGCATACACATCTTCATGGCTGTCATACGGTGTCAATGTTGTGGGGAAATAGTAAAGATGCACACCAATTATTAATAATGCAAAAAAAATTACTTATAAGAATCTTGGCAAACATAAGAATTCCAGAAAGTTGTAAGCCCCACTTCAAAAAGTTTAAAGTTTTGACTTTGACGTCTATTTATATTTGGGAAACACGCAAATTTGTAAAAAACCACCCATAACTACTTACCCAATTAAGTGTAACAAATTATATACAAATACTCAATTAGACCAAATAAAAATAGGCTACTATTGCCGAAATATACTTTTGCTTTGCATAGCTCTAGTCCGTACTGTATGGCAGTAATTTTTTTGAGTGCTACATTATTATTATCCAAATTAAAGTTATATTTAATTGAAAAATGTTTCTATAATTTTAATAAATATTTTGGTACAAATGTTATTTAATTTGTGTGGACAACTTCGGCCTGTGCCTATCTAATTTAATTTTTTTTATTCAATTATTATTTTTTACTTAATTTTATTTTTATTTATAATAATACTAATTATTTTTTACTTGACATTGTGATTAATTTAATTAAATTTACAGGATTTTAAAATAATATAATCTAATAATGTAATTTATTAATGAAATCTTGTAGTTTAAAAATAATATTCAATATTTTTATAATTACTACGCCCAAGCTGGGTTCAAATGCGGACTATTTTTTTTAAAACATCACATCTATTGTTACCATTTGATTTTAATGAAGATTATGAATTATCTCAAAATCATCTAGTAGCATCAGCATCATATCAAACCCCCATTGTCATAAGAGCGTAAGACTTCTGTGCTTCACTTGGCCTACGCTTCTCCCGACACATAAAATATTTTGAGTCGATCTGTGTATATTTTGGTTAGATCGATTTCGAAATCGATACACAACGTGCGACACGGCTACATCTCTAAGAAAGTTTCAAAAAGGAAGGTCAGCTACGCCGTTGTCGTTCAGTCGTGACAGTGACGTCATCACGATGAAGAGTAGTGTTGTGGTTTACTACTATTTTATTGTTATTGTTTGTTTTTATTTATGTACAAAGTACATATATAAAAAGAGTGAAAGACAGCACAAGATTAAATAAAACATACCAGATTGTAAAGAGTCATTTATTGCGTAAATAACCAACAAAATCAAGTTATTTTGTGTTATCGATATATCAACTCTAGGAAACACTATTTTTTTTCGTAGGTATTTTTGTTTACTTTTCGTTTTGGCGTACAGGACACGGTAATGCGTTTTTGGCGTGGCGCTCAAAAGGTTAACACTGAAACTGTTTGAGCGTCACAAATTGCAGCAGGAAGAGAATTCCATAACTTAACTGCATGTACTGTAAAAGAGTGAGAATAGTACTTAGTTCTGGAGGAAGGGAAATTTAGGAAGGTTTTTAAATGTGATCTGCAAACTGCATCGGGAGAACGAGCAAAACGGAATCGATATGGTGGTGATGTCGGATTGTATAGTATGTTAAAGAGGAGTCATAGGATTCGGGTATTCCGGCGAGGTAGGATTGGGAGCCACTTGAGCTGTTTGCGATAGGAGGAGACGTTGTCATACATTTTTGCCCAAAAATATAATTAAAATACATAAGTTTTGCAACAGCTCAAGTTTGA